CCGCAGTCACAAGACAGAGCCCCCTCTCTCTGGCGGGGGGCTGAGCCCCCCAAGGTCCCTCAGGCTGCCTCTCAGTGCCTCCCCGGCCTGCCCGCAGGATGCTGATGTATGAGCAGAAAGCGAAGAAGGAGCCGTTCGATATCATCGACCTGGACCCGTATGGCCGCCCGGCCACCTTCCTGGACGCCGCCGTGCAGGCCGTGAGCGATGGCGGTGAGCGAGGGGGCCGTGGTGCTGCGAGCTTCCCTGCAGCAGTGCCTTGGGGCATGCGCCAGCTGCTTGCTGATCCCTTCCCTTTGCTATAGGTTCCCAAATTGGGGGGGCGTGCCCCCCTGGGGGGGCATGAAGAAATTCCAGGAGGGGCGCAAGGCGACCCAGCCCCCCCAAGAAAGAGCCCGGTCCGTCCGGTATTTTCTGTTTTTCCTAGCTCGGGTGTCCCCTGGAACACGTGCAACTCAGGTTGGCTGGGAGTGGGGATGGGGGGGCGGAGGATGGAGCACCCCAGGCAGACTTCAAAATGGCCGCCTTAAAAGGGCAATGTCTGCTCTGCTCTTAAAAGGGCAACTTTTTTTTTTCTCTACAAGTTTGCTGCTATGCTTGGCTTTTGGGGGTGGGGAGGTGAGAGTTTGTCAAAAATCAAAAAGGGGGCATGATGCCGAAAAATTTGGGAACCGCTGCTCCAGGGCGTAGGAGCTGGAGCGTTAGAGCAGGGCAGCGAGGAATCCGGCCTCCTGGCTTCTGTTCCCGGCTTTCCCAGAGCAGATGACTCCCCTCCTCCACCTCAGACCCCTGGGCTGAGACCCATCCAGGCTGGAGCAGGTGAAGCCCAGAGCTGGGGGAAGACTCCTCCACTGACCCCACCCCCGATGCCCCCTCGCAGGCCTGCTGTGCGTCACCTGCACCGACATGGCAGTGATGGCCGGGAACAGCGGGGAGACGTGTTACAGCAAGTACGGAGCCATGTCTCTCAAGGGCAAATTCTGCCATGAGATGGTAAGTGGAGGCAGGGGGCAGAGGGAAGGGGAGCTCAGCCTCCTCCCTGGCCCTCTGGCGCTGGGCCTGCTAGGGCTGGGCTGAGGCCTGGCGCCCTCGTGTCTCAGCAGAGCTGGGTTGCGGATTGGGCCCTGCCCTGGAAGTGGAGCATTGCCCAGCTCCCTGCAGCGCCCCCTACTGGAGCTCCCTGTCCACCTCTAACCTGCAGCGCCCCCTGGCGGAGCTCCCTGCCCAGCTCCCTGCAGCGCCCCCTACTGGAGCTCCCTGTCCACCTCTAACCTGCAGCGCCCCCTGGCGGAGCTCCCTGCCCAGCTCCCTGCAGCGCCCCCTACTGGAGCTCCCTGTCCACCTCTAACCTGCAGCGCCCCCTGGCGGAGCTCCCTGCCCAGCTCCCTGCAGCGCCCCCTACTGGAGCTCCCTGTCCACCTCTAACCTGCAGCGCCCCCTGGCGGAGCTCCCTGCCCAGCTCCCTGCAGCGCCCCCTACTGGAGCTCCCTGTCCACCTCTAACCTGCAGCGCCCCCTGGCGGAGCTCCCTGCCCAGCTCCCTGCAGCGCCCCCTACTGGAGCTCCCTGTCCACCTGTAACCTGCCCTGCCCCCTGGCAGAGCTCCCTGTCCGGCTCCCTGTGGCGCCCCCTACTGGAGCTCCCTGTCCACCTGTAACCTGCCCTGCCCCCTGGCAGAGCTCCCTGTCCGGCTCCCTGTGGCGCCCCCTACTGGAGCTCCCTGTCCACCTGTAACCTGCCCTGCCCCCTGGCAGAGCTCCCTGTCCGGCTCCCTGTGGCGCCCCCTACTGGAGCTCCCTGTCCACCTGTAACCTGCCCTGCCCCCTGGCAGGCCCCCACAGCTAGCCTCCTGGCAGCTCCCCCAGCCTGGCTCGGCAGCCCCGGTGCTCGCCCCTGTCTCCCCACACAGGCCCTGCGGATCATCCTGCACAGCCTGGACCTGCACGCCAACTGCTACCAGCGCTACATCGTGCCGCTGCTGTCGGTCAGCGCCGACTTCTACATCCGGGTCTTCGTGCGGGTCTTCTCCGGCCAGGCCACTGTGAAAGCCTCTGCCAGGTGATCTGGGTGCTGCGCGCAGGCCTTCACTCCGGGTCCTGACCGGCCCCTGGCAGAGCTCCCTGCCCAGCTCCCTGCAGCGCCCCCTACTGGAGCTCCCTGTCCACCTGTAACCTGCCCTGCCCCCTGGCAGAGCTCCCTGCCCAGCTCCCTGCAGCGCCCCCTACTGGAGCTCCCTGTCCACCTGTAACCTGCCCTGCCCCCTGGCAGAGCTCCCTGTCCGGCTCCCTGTGGCGCCCCCTACTGGAGCTCCCTGTCCACCTGTAACCTGCCCTGCCCCCTGGCAGAGCTCCCTGCCCAGCTCCCTGCAGGCCCCCTACTGGAGCTCCCTGTCCCCCTGTAACCTGCCCCGCCCCCTGGCAGCATTCCCTGCAACGCCCCCTGCTCTCCTCCCCTCTGCTTGCTGGGCTTGAGCCCTGTTATCACTGCCTCTCCCCGTCTCTGCAGCAAACAGGCCCTGGTGTATAACTGCGTGGGCTGCGGGAGCCACGGGAGCAAGTACGGAGCTCCGGGTTCTCCCCGTCACCCGGGTTCTCCCCACCCACGGGTCAGCCCCCAACTCCTGGCCCTGGAAAGCTGGGGAGGGGACCTGACCTCAGAGCTAGTGACTGGAGAGGGCCTGTGTCTGCCAGATGGGAGTCCAGGGCTGGGAGCCCCCTGGTGTATAACTGCGTGGGCTGCGGGAGCCACGGGAGCAAGTACGGAGCTCCGGGTTCTCCCCGTCACCCGGGTTCTCCCCACCCACGGGTCAGCCCCCAACTCCTGGCCCTGGAAAGCTGGGGAGGGGACCTGACCTCAGAGCTAGTGACTGGAGAGGGCCTGTGTCTGCCAGATGGGAGTCCAGGGCTGGGAGCCCCTGAGGAGATGTAGGATGGATGTGGGGGGTGACTGGTTCCTGGAGGGGGCCCCAGCCCCGGCGGGAGGGCGGCCTGTCTGGGGGCGCCTGGACTGTGAGATCTCAGGGTGGGGGCGGAGGGGGGAGGGGCTCTATCCCATTCTGTGTCTAATCACTGATCCAATTTCAGTTTTAAATACTCAGCTGCCTCCGGCCCCCCCGTGGGCCCCTCCTGCGAGCACTGCGGCCAGCGGCACCAGGTGAGCGCCCCACTCCCCTGGTGCGCCCCACTCCCATAGGGCCAGGCGCTGCCCTTACCTGCCCTGTTCTCTCCCAGCTGGGGGGCCCCGTGTGGGCGGAGCCCCTCCACGACCTGGCCTTTGTCCAGAGGACAACCCGGGGCGGTTCCGGACACAGGCACGGATCCAGGGCGTGCTGAGCATGGTGACCGAGGTGAGGGGCCTTGCTGGGGAACCGGGTTGGGTCTGCGTTGGGGAGCATCGGGGGGAGACTGAAGGGGGGATGAGGCTTTCTTGAGACTGTTCCCCACTCGGGAACGCTGAGGTGGGGGCCCGCAAGTGACTTGAGAAATAACCCTCTGGAGGCAGGGTCGGCCGCAAGTCCAGTCACAGGTGCCCTGGCCCTGGCCGGTAGCTGCCACCACCCTCGTGGAAAAACTCAGCAGAGTTCCCAAACCAGAGAGAAAAAAATACCCAACCCCGTCTAACTGCACGTTCCCCATCTACCCCCACGCCTGCTTCTGTCCTTTGGGCGGCTCCCAAGGCTCACTGCACCCCCCCCCGGCCTTTCCCCCCAGCCACACGCGCAGCAGCAGTGGGCACCTGGCTGCTTTCGGTTCCTGTCTCCCCCCCTCTTCCCACTGGTACCTCCTGGCCCCCCCTGCTCTGGGTTTAACCCCTTAATTACTGACAGCTGGCATGTCTAGGAAAGGGTAGAGCCCCTCTCCCTCCCATCCGTCGCAAGCTAGTTGGGTTTCTGAGCCATTGTGGTAGGGGGCGTGGCCAGTCGGGGTGGGGGCGGGGCCTGCGCCATGCTGCGCCACTGTGTCCCTCTCGTGTTCCCCTCTGGGCAGGAGCTGAGCGACGTCCCGCTGTATTACACCCTGGACAGCCTGAGCAGCACCATCCACTGCAACACGCCCTCC